GAATATTTTGTTTTAACACAGAGTTATATACCATTCCTTTACTAATATTAATTTCATCAGTGGATTAATCAGAGATTTTCCTAAGTTAAAAAAGGCTTTTGCAATTTTAATATATTTAATATTTTTTTGAAGTTGCAAAACTTAAACCAAAAACTAGAGTAGCAGTTGTATTTTTATCTAATATTTCATCTGATTATTTAATTACAAAATTATTATTAACATGGTTTGTGCAATCACTATTTTCAATTAATCTGTCTAATTTTCTCTGTAATTTGTTTTATAGTTCATTACAAATTCTTCTGAGTTTATTATAGCAATGATCAAACAAACTATGTTTACATTCTGATGGAATGACATGATTAAAGGAGTATTTTTTTGTTTATCAATATTTCGAATACTTCCTTCTATTTTGATAATTTCAAAATGTTTCTGAAGAATAATTCTCATAAAATCATCAAAGGGACGAACTCTCATGTCAAGGAATCTATTTGATAAAATAAATCTGAGCAAAACTTGTTCAAACAGTTATTTAAAAAATAAAGTCGAATTTTAAGTTTGTGGGACTTGATCAGTACAGAGAAAAACTGGCAAATAAACGAAATATAATTATGAGAGTTACACAAATAACCCGCACATAAAAGAGAGAAGCTTACGACGACGTTTCGGTCCGACTTGGACCATTGACAAAGTCACACCGTCACGTCGTCGTAAGCTTCTCTCTTTTATGTGCGAGTTATTTGTGTATCGTTCCAGTCACGGTATTGTGCCTTTATTGTTATTTATGAGAGTTAAGTAAGAACATGTTGGAGAGTCGTGTGGCGTCCATTGATAAAATATGATCACAGTAAACAGGTGACATCACCATAAAATAACCACTGTGAGAAAATAGTGAAATTCCAAGCGCTTTCGTGACTTCTCACATTATCAAAGCACTATTAAAATAAAAGGCTAACAGGAAGGCATATAAACTTTCTTAAATAAAAAGAATTTTTATATCATATTATTTTACTGATTGATAAATATATATTTTCATTGAAAATTATGTAAATAATTTTTTTATTAGACCAAACCTAACTTAACATCACGTAATGTAATCTAACTTAAAGCCGAATTCAACTGATATATCATAGTATATTTTGAATTTACTTTTAACCAAAACTTTATGGAAAAGCATTGTAATATATTTACATTAAACTTGTCCTACTAGTCTAACTCACAATAATAATATATAAATCATAATAACTTTTTTATGGTTTATTATCGACATTCATTGTATGTCGTGTAAACAACGTAATAAAGATATATTAAGTACAAGTGACCAGGATATTTACGTAGAGTTGTCTATCATGGTGTAAACAACGTAATAAGGATATATTAAGTACAAGTGACCAGGATATTTACGTAGAGTTGTCTATCATGGTGTAAACAACGTAATAAAGATATATTAAGTACAAGTGACCAGGATATTTACCTAGAGTTGTCTATCAGGGTGTAAACAACGTAATAAAGATATATTAAGTACCAGTGACCAGGATATTTACCTAGAGTTGTCTATCAGGGTGTAAACAACGTAATAAAGATATATTAAGTACCAGTGACCAGGATATTTACCTAGAGTTGTCTATCAGGGTGTAAACAACGTAATAAAGATATATTAAGTACCAGTGACCAGGATATTTACCTAGAGTTGTCTATCAGGGTGTAAACAACGTAATAAAGATATATTAAGTACCAGTGACCAGGATATTTACCTAGAGTTGTCTATCAGGGTGTAAACAACGTAATAAAGATATATTAAGTATATTTACCTAGAGTTGTCTATCAGAGGATATATGCTGACAGTCTACTTTATAGTTTATTTTATAGATAAAGTATTCAGTCTAGTGGTCAGTAGATCACAAACAACCTTAACTGAATATTAGTACTGGTAAGTTTTAAATTATATTAACCAACAACCTTATATTACAGTAGCTACACAATATATTACAGTAGCTAGACAATATATTACAGTAGCTACACAATATATTACAGTAGCTAGACAATATATTACAGTAGCTACACAATATATTACAGTAGCTACACAATATATTACAAGTACACAATATATTAAGTAGCTAGACAATATATTACAGTAGCTACACAATATATTACAGTAGCTAGACAATATATTACAGTAGCTACACAATATATTACAGTAGCTACACAATATATTACAGTAGCTACACAATATATATGTTCCTGTTACACAACGTAGTTTGTTCTTAAGATAAATAATAAGAGAAAGACATTGTCTTATTGCTACTTCCTTATTTTAGGTAGGTCTAACTCTTAATTTTTTGGGTAGGTCTAAGTCTGTAATTTTTATTAGGTCTAACCATGAATATTTTAGGAAAATCTAATTCAAAAAAATTTTTAAAGGTAGGTCAACTCATAAAATTTTTATTAGGTCTAACTCTGTAATATTTCAGGTTGGTCAAACTCATGTAATTTTTAAGGTAGG